TATCTCAGCACCCAATAGACGCCTGACATCCTCATCAGTTATAAAAAAATCTGCATTTGTACTCATCTTACCTTTGGCACATTTGAGAGTGCACTTTCCAAGAGGAGTCATAGTGGTTCCATTGTACATCTTGAGTATTGCAGATGTTTTCTTCAAATAGAGATCTTTGGGATCCCCCATAATGCTTGAGAATTCTTTAAGTGATAGCAAATTACAAGTTGCTCTACAGTCCAACTGAAATGTAACATCTTTAGCATTGTTTACTTTGACTGGTGTAAACAACTGTTTTGGGTATTTCTTTTCTTCAACGGCACTGACTTGATAAGTTACTATACTCTTCAAACTGACTCACATCTGAATCATCTTGCACATAATTCAAATTCTGATTGGCATGTAAATTACGACTGGACTGCCTTCCTCCTGTACGCTTCGCAGCAAAATGGTTGCTTTTTCCACACTTGTTGCACTGTTGGCCATATGCAGGGCACTTTGATCTGTCTGGTACATGTTTCCTGCCACAAAACTTGCAGTCGATCTGCTGAGTACTTTCGTTTGCTGATTTCTTCTTCTCTTCTTGTTTCTTTCGGAAGAATTTTTCTTTCTTCTTCCCCACTGCATTAACCTCGTGCAAGTTTTGCATTTGTTTCAACTGGCTTCGGGTTGCTTAGGCAGCTCGAGCAATTTCCAGAGCTTTATTCAGCGTCAAATCTGGGACTCGCAGCAAACGCTCTCTCACGTTGTTATCAGCGATTCCAAACACGATGCGGTCACGTATCAATGAATCTTTCAAATCTTGAAATTCACAATAGTCTGCCATGTTTCGTACAACTGTGGCATATTTAGCAATGGGCTCCCCACTTTCCTGTCCACGCGAAAAGAATAAATACCTTTCGTTAATTGTATTCTTGCGAGGCTCACAATACTGCTCAAAATGCTCTAGAACTTTATCCATTTTGACTTTGTCTTCGTCACTGTCCCACGTTAATGCATTGTAAACATCTAGCGCTTCGTCGCCGATCACGGTGAGAAAAGTTGCTATTCCAATGGGTCTTCCTTTCTGGCTATTTCGATAGCTAGCTCATAGTTACTCCACTTTTGTTTAAATCTTTTCCAATTCTGAGATACATTTCCACTTGAAAGCTGCAGATGATCCGGCGGGTTTAACAGACGCCCGGCCGCCATTTCACACCGCGCGGTTTCGATTTATGCTAATAGCAACGAACCAAGGTTTTCACAAGACAAATATTTCACAAATGCGGTCGGCAAACAGCTTTATCCACTAACTTCTGACACCATGTGTTAGTCCTTTTAATAGCTTCAAAACGAGCAAACTCAACCAAACAGTCTTTAATCGGGGAAAACTCAAATCAACTTCAATCAATCAACTTACAAGAACGTCCCCGAAACGTTTTTTTTTACGACTATGCGATATTATGTCAGCGGTATTGACCACTACTTCGAAATATCACAAACTCAAGATCATATTCATTGATCGGGGGGCACATGAAGGAATATGCGGTCGATAATCCACCCTCACGGACAATTGCTCAAAAAAAGCAGAAATAAATTCGAATGCCTCGTCTACGAGATGCTATTTGTCTCGAATTCTCCCAAACAAGAAGCCTAAATATACAGCTATCGCAAACAGGCGCTATAGGGTCATCTTTGATGTGGTGTTAACATGCAGTATTCTACAGTCAAAAGTTTGATCCTAAGTAGATTCTAGTTTATTGCCCATGATTAAACGGTACAGGATGTCGAGTATGCTAACGAAAGCGGATACTTCCATTTAGATGGATCCCAATGTTGGGCACTGTTGTTGATCACGGTGATAGTGGATTATATGGCAATATTGATAGTGATGAAGATTACGACGATTCTGCCGGAGGAGATGATGTTGGTGATGGTAATAATGATATTTCAGATGATATTGTTTTTGGTACTGGAACGTGAGGGCGAAATACAACAGGTATGTGTTTTTCAATTCAATTTACAGCCTGTTACTTGGTTAGTTAACATGCTTTTTCTCATAACGGAGCACTGCAAATATAATAGCACTCCAATTTGTTCTCGCTCAATTCGTTTGGCCAACATCTTAACCGCTAGTCACGTTTTGCCTCGGTTACTCATGTTTACCCCTACGTATCCACCTTGTTACCCCATTTACCCATATTCAACCTAATTTATGCAAACAGGTGCAATGTGGTCATCTTTGTTTTGGTGCATCGCCAGAAATTTCGAATCGGCATGCACAGTGCGAGACGACACTTAAAAAAATATCAATGCGATTTTCATTACATAGAAATGACTGAGAAAAGATCGAAAATCGAAAAAAACTGTCCTAGAAACATTAGAGGTCACTGACTTTGCATCAATTTCATTATTATTTTTGTTAAACTAAATGAATCTGCATTTATACCTATCTTGCAAGTTTTATCCGTTTCGGTTTTGAGGTAAAAAGATTTGCAAATTGAATGTAAAGGATTTGTATGGCTGTCGGCGATACAACGCCGAAACAGAGCCCAGTTAAACTGTTCCAGTTGGTGTCCAAGTTCGTTGGATACAACCACTTTGCATGGGTCCTGCGAGTTAAGGTGGCTCGACTGGATTTTTTTAGGGGGATACCTCCCAACTTTGAACCTTAACTACGTCGGCATGAGTAAAGATATGGAAAAAAGGTTACCACAACTGTATTACATAAAGATGAAAATTTCTTATGGTTTGGGTTTTATTGCAATTGGAGTCGCCATGGCAACGTAATGACGCCATTACGTTTTTCATTTATCTTTGTGTTTCTCTGCACGAGGAATTTTTTGAAGAAATCGCCTAGGGGAGTATGTACCTGCCATAATTGTCTCCATTATGGCAAAGTATGACGAAATTCTATGAGAGCGTTTTCGAAATATTTTGAAATGCAGTTTTAAGAATCATAAAAACAGTGAAATAGCATGCTAGCCGCACAATTCGCTAATATTTTAAGAACATGATAAGCTTTGGGAAGGCGGCTACATCTCATAGTGGATTTATTCCATAGAAAACTGCATGCAAAAAAGAGGGGAATTGCTCTGGGCGATCGCGAGTAAGGAGGATTTTATTAACTTGCATTCAGATGCTTTTGATACAGTTTTTGGAGCTAATTTGGTCCATGCCTAAAAATTTCGCATTTTTCCAAAAACCGCTCGATAAATTTATTTATAAATTCGACAATTCCGAGATCAATCGTCAAGAAACATTCCCTGCAAGTTTTAAGAACATTGAAAACAGGGAAGGCTTTTAAATAGGGCCTCAAATATAGCCAATTTTCCCCCCAGAGTTTGTGTTTACAAGCAAGCGTCCTCATTATTCACTGGCATTGTTTTCAAGTTTCATATACACGTGCACATTTAGCAAAACGATAGAATTTGCATCAAAAAGGACCCTCGGTTAAATCTCCGGGATATGCTAATTAACGGGGAAAGGGGTTAGTGATACATTATAACATCAGAGCAACTCTTTGTGAGAGTTTCTGTGATGTTATAACCCGAGTAAGATAATTAAGTATTGCATCCTACACGATGAGCCGTGACGTTCACCGTTTCGGCTCTCACTGCTATCTGTGACGACAAGCCAATTATTAGCATATACCGGATATTTCTTCGGAAAGAAATCGAGAGTTCTTTTTGATGCAAATTTATATCTTTTGCTAGTTGTGCACGTGCATATGAAGCTTGAAAACAATGCCAGTGAATAATGAGGACGCTCAATGGTAAACACAAAATCTGGGGGGAAAATTGGTTATGTTTGAGTCCCTATTTAAAAGCCTTCCCTGCATGTTTTCAATGTTCTTGAATCTTGCAGGGAATATTTCTTGACGATTGATCTCGGGATTGTCGAATTTATAAAAAAATTATCGAGCGGTTTTTTAGGAAAAATGCGAAATTTTTAGGCATGGACCAAATTACCTCCAAAAACTGTATCAAAAGCAGCTGAATGCAAGCTGAATGCAAAAACTGTATCAAAAGCAGCTGAATGCAAGTTAATAAAATCCTTCTTAGTCGCGATCGCCCAGAGCAATTCCCCTCTTTTTTTGTATGCAGTTTTCGATGGAATCAAACCACTATGAGATGAAGCCGCGTTCCCAAAGCTTATCATTTTCTTAAAATATTAGCGAATTGAGCGGCTAGCATGCTATTTCACTGCTTTGATGATTCTTAAAACTGCATTTCGAAATATCTCGAAAACGCTGTCATAGAATTTCTTCAAACTTTGCCATAATGGAGGCAATTATGGCAGGTACATACTCCCTTAAGCGATTTCTTCAAAAGACTCCTGATACAGAGAAACAGAACGATAAATGGAAAACGTAATGGCGTCATTACGTTGCCATGGCGACTCCGATTGCAATAAAACCCAGATCATAAGAAATTTTCATCTTTATATAATACAGTTGTGGTAACCTTTTTTCCACATCTTTTCTCATGCCGACCTAGTTAATGCTCAAACTTGGGAGGTATCAACCCCAAAAAATCCAGTCGAGCCACCTTAAAGATGCCCACTTTCAGGTCCAGTGACACTTTGCACTTCTGTTTTTAACTTTGAAAACACCGTAAATTTCAGTATGGACTCCGCAGCGAAATTTCCTGATATTCGTTTTTCAATATCTCCGCGATAAATCTTCCAAATTTCATGGAAACCCTCTCATTCGAGAGAGAATTTCTTGCATTTTGAACACGTTTCAGAATAATTGACGGTTCCTTTTTGACTGTAAATGCAGTCATGTTTATGTAACGTGACATTGAGCTCGTACTCGGCCAGATCTGACAGCGGCTTAGCCCATAAAACAAACATATTTATATAATGTGGTTAACAGTATTCTACAGGCAAACGTTTGAGCCTCAGTAGATTACTTATGATTAGACGATAAAGGATGCCGAGTAGTGCTGACGAAAGTAAACTTCCATTTAGATGGGTGTCTTTGATGCGACATTGAAGTTAGTGATGGTGATGGTAGTGGTGTTGGTGATGATGATGATGACGACGATGATGATGATGACGACCATGACGATGATGGGGATAATAATGATGATGATGATGACGATGATGATGACGTTGTTAATAAAGAAGGAGGTATGTTTTTTACAATTCAATAGACCAATGTCGATATATTTAAATTTATACTTGGCACTTGAAGGCTTAGGGAATGAAACAATAAAGATCGTCTTGAGACTCACCAATGACAATGCATTTCTTTTGGTTTATTCCCTTGAGCATCAGTGCCAAGTATGAATTTTAAAACTATACCAATTTGGTCGATTCAGTGTAAGTCTGTGACTTTTAGATTAATTGTCCATGATTAGACTGTGACTTTTAGATTAATTGTCCATGATTAGACGGGACAGTATGCCGAGTAGTGCTAACAAAAGGATACTTACATTTAGATTCGTCTCCATGGTAAGGCAATTATGGTGGCAATGGCGATGTTGATGATGAAGATGATAACAAGGATGACGATGAAGGAGATAATGATGGTGATGACGATGATGGTGGTGATGTTCCATATAACAGATTATTTTTTGAAGGAGGGGAAAAAGCTACAGGTTTGTGTTTTAATAATATTCAAATTTACAGCTTTTCCAAGGAAAAATAGTAATGGAATTGATAGTTAATCCATTATGAAAATTTAGTAAGGGGGTGAATACATACATACCCATTTACCCACGTTTACTCCAAGTTGTCCACATTTCAACCAGCTTACCTAATTTCAAGTTATCCACGTTTCACTCCTTTTACCCAAGATTACCCCTAGTTAATGTTATTACACAGTAAACCATGTCTCATCTCGTTTCCCAACACTTACCCCAAGTTACCCCAGTGTCTTCCCATATCCCGTTTTTTTCCATGGTTTCTCCAATTTTCCCATACGTGTGATCCCTTTTACTTGTATTAATCAACGTTGTCCACCCCATCGTCTCACCCTATCTACCCATGTTTATCCTACAGTGAACGTTACCCACAACACTCAGTTATCCATGTTTCAACCGATTTAGCCAAATTTGCCTTAATTTACCCGCATTCCAACCCACGTTTACATTACGTTTAACTCACGTTTCACCTCATTGACTCGTTTCATCTAATTATGGTTTCCGTTCAGTTACTCCGTCATCATGGAACACGCGTACTACCAGTACGAGCATCATGGACCAGATAAAGGAGATATAAAATCCTTTTTCCCTTTTTCCCTTCCTTGTTCGTATCATTTACATGGCATCGACTCAATTGATTCTTGCATAACAGGTAACGGAGGTAAAAGTACTGCTCATGTGGTACCAGCGTTGATCAGAGTATGCTGATTTTCTGTTTCCCTCAGTGTTTGATTTCATGTTCAGTTATTTCCGTTTTGTCTACCAGGAAAGATTTCTACAACAAGTACCAGTGGTGGTCAACGAAGTAAGCGGATTCGGTTTATCCAAGTGATGGTTCATTTCTACTTGTGTGTGTGTGTTTAAATCCTTAATTTCATTGCATAATTTAACAAATGCCCATTTCCGGTTAAAGTCATTGTGAGTTGGCGTTGAGCGTTGCGTCCGGTCATCGAAAAGGTCAGGGTTCCGATTCTCCGATGAAGTATGTCCACTGAGGAGATTGCACAACTACGAGTCGCACGGCTGTACCATTGTAAACCGCTTTTGGATATGTGGAGTGACATCATTCATATTGTAGACTGTTTTCTGACTGCTTTTAAAATTTTAACAGGAACTAAATAGGCTGCTCTTTAACAGCAAGCCTCAATACAAACAGGCGCAATGTGGACATCTTTGTTCTGGCATTTAACAGTATTTCAGAGCTAACAAAGAAATTATACTTCCATTTAGATCAAGGATTACACTGGTGCGGAAATGATATTGTTGATATTTGCGATGGTAGTGATAATGATGAAGACTGTGATGATGATGGAGATAGTAATCGTGATGATGATGATGATGCTGATGATAACTTTGGTGATAAAGAAGGAGGTATGTGTTTTACAATTCGCTACATCAATGTCGATATATTTAAATTCATTCTTGGCTCCAAGGCTTAGGAGAATTAAACAAAAGAAACATCTTGAGGCTCAGCGATGAATAATACATTTCTTTTGTTTTATTCCCCTGAGTTTCGGAGCCAAGTATGAATTTTGATATTATCTAAATTGTTCATTTCTGGGACTATAAGAATAATTGTTCATGACAAGACGGTACAGGATACCGAGTAGTGCTAACAAAAGGATACTTACTTTCAGATGAATCTCAGCGGTAAGGCAGTTATGATGGTAATATTGACGATGTTGATGATGAAGAGGATTACAAGCATGACGATGACGGAGATAATGATGGTGATGACGATGATGGTAGTATAACAGATTTTTTGTTAAAAAGGAGGAAAAGAAGCAGGTTTGTTTGTCTGTTTTTATTATTATTATTATTATTATTATTATTATTATTTTTTACAATATTCAAATAATTCGCATGTCCGAGTCACAGCTTTTCAAAAGAAAAATGCTAATGGAATTGATATTTAATTCTCTGGGATTCCACTGCTTTTTAAGGGACAAGACATAAAAAGAAGCAACGAGACAGGTTGGAACGAGTCTCGATTCCAGAGTTTCGATTGGAGTGCCGAATACGTAATCGAGAGGTCATCGAGACGGTTTTTATCGAGTACTTTACGGTACGTTGCCCAGAAACGATGATGCAATGCAACAAATGTAAATGCCGGATGCCAGTACATCGGAGAGACCAAACGCCAGCTTAATGAACGATTTAGAGAACATTGCCGATCCATCTTGAACCACCACCAACTCAGCGATCCCACTCCCGTCTCCTTACACTTTAATCAAGCTGGACATTCAATCAACGACGTCATTTTAATCCCTCTTGAACTCATACGCAGCAACCTTGACCCGGTGAGAAAGGTGCGAGAAGCTCATTTAATACAGAAAGGGAACACATTATCTCCTCTAGGAATAAATAGACGTGACGAAGGTCACTGATATAAGATACTACCTAGTCTCCTACGCCAATAACAATCCATTGTTTCTATAGTCATATTTTCAAACTCATTTGTAACGAACTTTTAGTTTTATCTTCATTTTTCTCATAGCCCCTGAACAAGGTTTGTTTTCAAACCGAAATACTGGGCAAATTTGTTTAGATATATATTTTTTCTTTTATTCATTTGTTTACTTCCCCAACGCCTTGCCGTTTGGATCAGTTTGCCGTTTCATGTTTTTGTATTCCTAAGATGTCTATCCCTTCAAATTGTTTACTCCAGCAGACTGGCCTGCAGCCCGGCTCCGGGCGAGAAACCTAGTGGCCAACGTGTAAATGAATTCATAAAGATACCGTATTTCTTCGAATAAGCGCCCATCCCAAAGGCAGAAAAGCTTAATAAGCGCCCAGCAACATCCCACCCCCCTTCCACGCAAACTCAAATAAATACGGTATATTGGTTCACAAATAACAAGGATACTCAAGGTGGAGGCGATTTCAGTTATGAAATCAAGAAGGTTAGATATAGATATATGATATGGTTTCTGCAACATCTTAAAAACAACTTGGTGTACTTACATGTTTTTGTATCTACGCAGGGCACTCAAGTAGTATTACAAGGACTGCTTGCAGAAGAGTAAGAAGAAAAAGACACTGAAGTACATGATTGAGTTGAAAAGTGTAGAGGGCGTGTGAATTTTTAACCTGTTTTTATACATTTTGAAAACCGTGTCTATTACATTTGAGAACTATATTTGATAGGTACCGAATTATATTTTTATAGTCAATTAATCAATCAATAATCTTTATTAGGCTTTGGTCGATGTACATGACTAATATTACACTCTAGGAAATTTTATTCCTTAACAGCACAAGACATATTAAACATAACGAGAATGATGTGCAAGCTAGGAAGCTAGACAACTACGTAGACAACTACGGGCGGGGTTCCCTCAAAGTACACTGTCAGAATTCGTTCCGGGACTTTCAGCAACCCTGTATGAGTTTGCGAACTTGTTGCGATGCAGTAACCCAACACCAACGACCCGAGGTTGGGAGGCAGAAAAATAGATGAACATAAACTAACGATAGTCGTTCCAGTGTTGTGAAACTGTTTCCTTTGTAATCCATCAGCGTTCTTGGATGCCTATGATATTCAAGGACAAGTTCAGGGCCCCGCGTAACAGGTGATCTAGCTTTCCGGTTTGGTACAGAGTCCGAACGTTAAACGAGGGGAAGTGTACTCCGCGGAGTAGCACGCAGACGGGATGTGAATTTCTCACAGACCGGGGGGTTCCTTAGACTTAAGAAACATCGGCGGTTGTGTCAGAGGTTCCCCAAACGTCGTCATGTTTGCAGGACGTCGCTGCGAACTACGGTCAGCAGGAAACGTAACATACTTGGCATTTAGAGGTTGTCGGAACCAGGCTTTTTTAACGATGAAGAGGAGGTTAACCTTCAGCATCGACCCTTTTAGCCGCCTCTTACGACACTCAGTGATACGTTGGCAATATTCTTCCCCGGATGGGCTGCGCTGCGCACGGTATTCTTTGCAATAGGGCAGAATTTTCTTTGAAAGAAAATACGTGGCAGGTATAAGACATATACATATATATTTTTTATTTTTAAGCAAAACACGTTCCACATGAATGTAATTGGATACCTCAGTGAGACGTGCCATGATCCTATTGTGACAACTTTCAATCAATTTTAACCTCTTTTTCGTACCTTACCTTCAATAAACGTCCAAAAGATACAACAAAGAAGTATTTCTGGCTTTAGTTGCACTGCACTTATAATTATCTTCGATATTGAAAAGGCCTCGCTTCATGCAGTTCTGACCCCAGTCTTTCACTCCCAGAAGCTGTTTGACGAAAGAGAGTTTGTAATAGGAGGGAAGGGGGTTGGGACGAGACTTCTCTGGCCTTTCACAATCCCACCGTGCTTTGCGCTCAAAAGTTGCTTTTTGTGACGAAAGCTGCTCAAAAGTTGCTCAAAAAAACAATAACTTTTTATTACCCGCTTCATTTGCTTGATCTGAAGCAAAAATATGCAAATTGTAAAACAAAATTAAGAATTTCTAGGCATTTTTGTTCACTTTTGGGGCGTTGTTAAATAACTTTAAATTTGTCTTCAATTAAAACCAAAAGATTTATGAGTAAATACTACGCAACAATATCAGAAGCCCATGGCCTCATAGTCATGGGCTCCTGTCAATATCAAAATCAGTCTCGTAAAAATTCTAGTATGAGCCAATAAAATTGTTGAATGACCTTCTTCACCTGAGACGGGCTTCCTCCATCAATTTGAATTTTCTTTTAAAAACCGCTGACCTGCAATAGCAGCCCGGCTGCACGCATCTTGCGCCTATAAGCTGCCCCAGGAAGGAAGATCTGACAGATCTGGCTCCTTTTTTACAAGAAAGTCATGAATTGTCTGCTAAAACATTAACTGTGAAAGTTTTAAGAAAGGCCAATTTAAGCACTACAGGCGCCCAGAATTGCTAGAAAACAAGCGAAATTGCGCATAATGAAAAAAGTTGCTCGAAATACGAGAAGTTGCTTGTGGAAATCCCTAATTAAACTCGTCCCTAAGGGACCGGTCATAAAGTACAGGGGGGGGGG